CCAAAAACATAAGGGGCAGCTGAGTTATTCACCTAGCCAATATTTGAAAGATCTTTTTGTCTAGAGAGACATTGGCGTACCAATATCAGAATCAGGAAGGTAACGACATAAGTTTTGGAACCATGAAGGATAATAGTGCACATTTACCAAACTACAAGGGGTGTTGGTGCAATAAAATCATTCTTTGTATGGCATAATTGCTTCACTTAAATCATGTTTTTTGGGTTGGAATTTCAAAGTTGGATGTTAGAAGAAAGAAGAAATGCATCACTTTATCTTTAAGTCTCATTTTAAAACTTAAACTGTTAACTTTTAGTTATTTCTAGTTTTTTAAAGTTTATTCCAGTTTTTTTAGTTCTTTCAGTTTCTTCAGGTTCTTTCTTGTTCTTTCTAGTTTCTTCCAATTTTTTTCAACCATTATCATTTTGTTTAAACTCTTCCACTCTCCAAATAATTACTCTTAAAGTGATGTATTTTTAATGTGATGATGATGATTATTATTATCATCATCATCATCTTCTTCTTCATTATTATTAAATTATTATGTTCATAACTATAGTTTATAGAGTATTTATTTTTTTATTTTTTCTATGTCACTTATTTACGATTCACTCTCCTAAATTGATATGAGAAAAATATTTTTAAAATTTTATAAAAATCTTGAAAAGCCAAAACATTTTAGAGAAAAAGACTAAAGTAGAAGTTAAAATATTCGAAACAATTGTGCCCATAAGTTCAATTTGACAAACTCTAGGACGCAATTGTAATTAGATGAAAATAGACTCGCACTATCCACTCCATAGAACCGCTCCTTCAAGAGTTCAAAGCGGCCATTAGAGCACGAGAATTTAGAAGAAACCGCCAGACGACCGAAGGAATCGGAGCTCCGATTTTCCATCGTCTTCAGATTCCAATTGGACCATATTTGGACTTCAGGTCACATCCGATTCCTTCCCATTTTACCATTTTCCCGATTTTTTAAAAAATCGTATCGGATCACTGAGTGATCGAGTTCCGGCACTGAATCGACTCAGGGAAGACCGCTGTTCGTCCGTTCTTTCATGTTTTTGAATGCTCGCAATGCCGTTTCCCCCCGGCTGATTTTCTGGGTTTTGTATGAATTTTTTTTTTTTTTTTGGAAATCCTTTAGGATTTTTTACTATTTGGAGTTGCCAATGCTGGATTTTGCTTATTATATGCGTATCGATTAATAGATCCGCTGGTTGAAACTTCAATCAGCATTTAAGATTCTATATTGATGGCCACATTTTTTTCCATTTTAGCAAATGAGCATTTTTGTTCTTTTGTCTATGGTCAATTTCATGTTAGTGTGGTTCATCCCAGACAGTTTTGAGATTGTTGTTATACACTGAATGTTTTTGCTTGTTCTGTAAATAAAATTGTCTGTTTCTATTGGTGACAGCAGAATGTGGGAATGGCGTGGGGACTCTTGTCAAGGAGATGATGCCGATAATGGTGAGGCTTGTTTTTCAACTAGTCGTGTTTGTCTATCGTTTGTATTTTTTTTATACGGTGTATTTGATTGTAAGCTCTTGTTGCTTTGCAAAACAGACATACCGAATTACCTACTGAGCCAGGATGAAGATCTTTCCTTTATGTTTGATGATGAAGAAACTACTCCAGTCAAGTCATTTGGAGATGTCCATTACCAGTTCAGTAGTGGTGGTATGATGATGTAGAATTTTATCAATATATGTGATTTTACATTATACTCCCATGTATGTGTACACATTTAATGTGTATACCATGTGATAATGGGGTGATGCATTGTGCGACAGCGTGTGTGTTTTTTCATGTTTTTCTCTTTTAATACAGAAAATAGCGATAAGGAACCGTCCTCACAGGCAAAAAGGCGCCGCATGCTAGAGTTTGGATCCGAATGTTTGGATTCACTTCGCAGTGTAGGAACGTCGTCTGCATTGATGAAATCGATGGTTGGTCACTGAGTGCCATTATGCAATTAATTTTATTATTATCACTAATCTGAAGGAAACCCTTGCTTTCATTTGAATAGTGATTCGCCATATTTTTCTCAAACTCTCAAAGTATTGGTTCCACTTTCATAACATCTTTTTTCATGATTACTCTGTATTATAATAGAATAGTTGAGTTGTAGAATAACCTTATGGAAACACACGAATAAACTAGAAAACATCTATTCATTTAGACATTCAGAAAGTGTTTATAATTTTAACCTAACTCCCAAACCTCCGGAACCTGTTTCAAGATCTTGGTTTGCGATTTTCTGAAACAATTTGACCCAATCTTGAATGACTTCCAGACATGAGCATGTTCTCTAATGTCTACATTTAGGGTCTATTTGGAACTCAGAAAATGCCAAGGAAAGAGAATAGGGATGAAACTGTAGGGGAGACGCAGAAGAAAATGAAATGCTAGGAAAAATCAAACAAATTCTATCCTCATATAAAGAAAGGTGAAGCGCTACCCACCGGCTTAAGCTTTTGGTTAGAAAGTGGATCCAGACTTTATATGAGAAATTAGTCAAATCTCGCCCATTTCACTCGCCCTTCCAAAATTCGGACAATTTGCTATAAATATTTTTTTTCATGTTTCTTTGACAGTTCAACGTGGTCCTTTTGACACTGGCCCTTGGTGTCCTTTTAGGACACTAAATCATTTTGGGGGCTTTACAGTGCCCCGACTGAACCCCCTACCTCTTGTCCACCCATGCATCCAGGCCCTGATTTTGATGTTGTGCCCCCTGTCATTGTAGCCAGTGCTAGCCCCCCCAAGCGACCCACCCCCTCCCCCTAATCCACCCTCTGGTCCGAGCCCAACGGGGCACCATGGGGCCTTCAAATCACCTAGTGTCCTAAAATGACATTGAGGGCCGATGTAAAAAAACCACACTGATCTTTCTATTATATACTGGCTAATAAATCTTTATATGAGTATGTGTTAGATTTTATTTAAAAATTAACAAAATTTGATTTTTTCATATCGTCTAAGGTTAAGCCAAACTTTAAAAAAACATTTTCTTTCTTACCTACCATTTTCCGATTTCCAAACCTAATATGGTGTTTTAAGTTATGTGCTGACTTGTGCTTTTGTTGTGATCAGGAGGATGAGAATTCAAAGTCTGAGTGGGCTTCAGAACTTGCTGGTATTTTAACTGTTACGGAGTATATTGTTTTTACAACAGAGAGCATGCGATATTGATTACATGTTATTTGCCAACAGATATGTCTGCATCCAGTAATGACATCCTGGATCAATCATCTGAGAGGTGGATTGCTGATTGCTTTAATGATGCAGATATGCACATCAGCCCTGAGAATTTGTATGTTTCTTGGATACACTTTATGTGTCAAGATTTAGTCTGATTTGGTACAATGTAATTCTGATTTTTTATTTTACGGGAACAGTAGTGCGCCTGCTGATGCAGCAGCAGATGTTCAGATTGATATCTCAGGTATTTTCCTATGTCTTGTTGGCCATCATAACTATCAAGATTTTTTCCCTAAAAATAGTTCCTCATCCTCGTCTTAATTTCTAGAATCAACTTAATGTTGCAGAGTTCTGCACTACGCATCTTGAGAGTGAACCTAAGACTGTACTACAGAAGCTTCATCCTGTTCGAACTCGTCGAAACATTATCTTTAAAGGTAATTGCTTCCTGAACTGCCCTCAATGATATTTAGAGCATATTTGGTAAGGGCTATTTGGCTTAAATGGTTGAATTTGAACTTAAAGATTTTCTAAAAGTCAAGCATTTTGCGTTTCATAAGACCTCTTTCAGCCAAATTAGAAGTCAAAAGCTACTTATTCTACTAATTAGAATGAACACTATACTCTGATTTTGGTTAAATTGAACCTTATATTATTTCCCTTGTTAGATTGCCACTGGACCATTATATAGAGAATGATGAGTTAATAATATCTTGGGCTATACCACACCAAAAGATCGGATCTTATAGATTAGCTAGATCAACCCACAATCTTAAAAATTCATTACTCATCACTCTCTCTTTAATGTTCTAGGGTGGGATTCTAACATCCCTGTTTGGTATGACTTTACTTGAAAGCATTATTCTAAAATTTCAAAACAGTATGTTGATGACTGAAATAGAAATGAAACTATTCTATTGGGATGTTTTCTCATAATGAGTGTCTTGTTGATCTCAGCCATATGATGGGTGAGGTTTGTACCAATCTCGAGGCATCATGCATGGTATCTAAATGCTCATCTTATCTTATTCTCCCTACAGGTAGGAAATCATTTATCCAGACTCCCAAGGTCCCCACTTCTGTTGTCTATCCCTTTGATTTTGTTAAACCCTGCGGTGCTCGTGGTGATGTGACCCTAAACGACATAAACAAACGGATTAAAACCCCGGCATTGCCCAAGAAGACCGAAAAGGCTTCGATCGTGTATCCCAGGTCTGCTTTTTCAGGTAAACCTGTTGTTGGGAAGACGAAAATTCGCACAGAGGGAGGTAAAGGCAGTATTACTATTATGAGAACCAAAGGATAACCCACACAAGCAAATTCAGGAAAAGATTTTTGGCACTTCTAATATTGGTGGCATCTGGAGATTGTACCATATCATCAAAAGTTGTTTATATCCTCAATCTCTGTCGCAGATGCGGCATCTTATGTAGGGCCCGTTTGGCAACAATTTCATTGTCTTGCTTTAGTGTTTTGAAATGATTATTTATTGGCAGCGTTTAGCTTTAATTTTTTTAAAGTTAATCTATACCATTAAAAAGTTATTCAAAACGCTAATGCTAATCGATAATGTTGTTCCCAAACAAGGCCATTGACCTGGTATATTTTGAAGGTCTTACTAAATTATTTTGAAGATCTTTACTAAATTTCTTGTATCTATGAAACTGTTAACATAATCAAATTTATTTATTTATTTTGAAGGATTGATTACTTTTTTGTTTGTGATTGGTGAATGCATTATAATTCATTGCGTTAACAGTGTTAGACCTTAGACCATGTGTTATGGGGGACTTGACGGGGTGTAAATATGTATGATATGCAGTGATGAAAAATATGTGTTCGAGGAAGGTGAGATGACCCTCTTGGAGGAAGGTGCCACGCCCTCCTCACAGAACTCTGTCGTGGTGAATGGGCGTGCATGCGGCGTGGAAGAGGTCGAGCCTTCCTCACGCCACCATAACATACGGCCTTATAATAGATAGATCTTGTGACACATTTAGCTCATAAATTTGGTAGCCATAATGATGTACTGGCTTTAGATGAACAAACAAAACTAGTTCAATTTTGTCTACTCCCTTGGTCAAATAATTCTCTTCACACTTTCACTTTTGGTCTCTTCAATTTTTTTCTTTTTCCTTTTTGACAAAAAAATCTTTAATCGGGGTTGGTATCATTGACATTGACATATAGTGTCAACAGATGACAATGTCAATGAAATTATCTCGATTGAAATGGTACAGTTCTGTTGAAACTGTAAACTAGTGTCGTCAATAGATGATATTGGACACCTACGATGATCTTTTTGCAAAATGAATGATTCCAACCCCCAAATAAACCTCGTCCCAGTATTCGTAATTTTTTTACTATCTGTAGCTAATACTATCCAAATACGTGCACATAGAAAAAAAAGTTTAATATCAATCATATTTTTAGGGCAAAGAATGTCGCTTTTGAACGCCTCTACAAGGATATTGAGGAGAGAGGCAGTGTTAATCCACTGTTCCGGCTTGCTAAGGTGCGCGAGAGGAAGGCCCGAGATCTGGATCACGTGAGATGCGTGAAGGGCGGCGATGGTAGAGTGTTAGTTGAGACTGCCAAGGTGGCTAAGCGCTGGGGGGAGTACTTTAGTGAACTCTTAAATGCGGGAGGAGACCAGAGGCTAGTTCTTGGTGAGTTTGGACATCCCGGGGCGTCTCGTGTGTATTGCCGGCGCATTTGCCTGGAAGAGGTGGTTCGGGCTCTTCGCGGGATGCGTAGTGGGAGAGCTTTGGGACCAGATGAGATTCCGGTGGAGTTTTGGAAGCATGCGGGTCGTGGTGCGTGGGTTTGGTTAACCAAACTCTTCAATGTTATCCTCCGGACAGTTAGGATGCCTGATGAGTGGAGGGAGAGTCTCTTGGTCCCTCTGTTTAAAGGCAAAGGTGACATTCAGAGCTGCGAGAATTTCAGAGGCATCAAATTGCTTAGCCACACCATGAAGGTTTGGGAGCGAATCATTGAGTGTAGGGTGCGAAAAGGGGTTTGCATCTCTGAGAACCAGTTTGGTTTCATGCCTGGCAGATCGACTACAGAGGCCATTCATCTCGTGAGGAGGTTAATGGAAGAGTATAGGGCTAGGAAGAAGGACCTTCATATGATGTTTATTGATCTTGAGAAGGCGTATGATAGGGTGCCTAGAGAGGTCTTATGGAGGTGCCTTGAGGCAAGAGGAGTTCCCATCGTGTACACTCGTGCGATCAAGGATATGTACGATGGGGCTATGACTAAGGTAAGGACTTCCGGGGGTCTCTTGGAAACAGTCTCCCTACTTCCGAGTAGGGGCAAGGTCTGTGTACACACACCCTCCCCAGACCCTACTATTGTGGGATTCACCTGGGTTGTTGTTGTTGTTGTATTTTAAGGCAATGTGTTTTTGAATTTGAGTGTTCTTAAATTTAGTGAATATTTTTAAACGAATCAAATTTGATAAATGAATTTTAAGTGAATTTTTAAACTAGGTACTTTTAAAAGTACCTAGTTTTAACCCATATTTTGATAGTTTTTTGGTAATTTCTTAAATACAATATCATGAACAAATTGCATTTTTAAAATTGTAAACCTAAACATACATTAAACTTTTAGTAGTAAAATACGGAGTAAAACTTTTGAGACATCTTTTAAAATAAAATAGATCAGGCCGGGTCACGTCGAGACCCAAATAATTTAGACTGTATAGGCTTTCTTAAAACCGGATTTAGCCCAAATAGTTTGCCCTTTTCATCGTTACTGGGCCTGCGTCTGCAGTGTTGTTTTCTTTGTTCTATTTCCCCCCCTTTTACTCTTTTACGTGGGGAGAATACAGCGAGGGTTTTCGCCGGTAGAAAATCCACCACCGCCGGCGTTTTGCGGCGAGTTCAGCGTGGCCAGGGCGTTCAGTGCGTCGTCAGAGACCAAGTTCAGCTGAGTTCTACGAGGGTAACAACCTTAGATCTAGTAGTTTCATGCTAGGATCTGTTGTTTTGAAGATGAAATCTGAGTTGTTTCTTGAAGTTGTGTTGAGCTAACTCTGGTTGTGTTTTTTTTGCTAAGTTCTTGTTTGTATCTGCAATATATCTTTGTTCTGAACTCGAATTTGCATTATTCCTGATTGAAAATGTTGTTTGCTCAGTTCTCTGGACTTTTATTTACGATTTCAAAGTTAATATGAGTGAGTGGATGCTTTTATCTTGTTTCGGATTTGGGTTAAAACTTGCTTAATCAGTGAAGAGGTGTTAGAAGTCATGCTCGTTTTCTATCTTGAGTAGACTAGTTGAAGTGAAACTATTTTTACCTGGATTTAACCAAACCAAACATGTAACTTACACCCTAAGAGTACATCAAATGCTGTGTGGTGTAAATCCAAGTGCCAATTAGCTAAATTTATTGATTGATTGGCTCACCCCTAGTTTTTACTAGCTACGCTTTTTCTAACAATTATGTTATATAGGGTCATTGGTGGGTCTATAGCGAGACTTTTGGTGATGTTTTTATAGTTTAGTAATTCTCCCTTCTAAGGTAAATTTTTTTGTTGGTTCTGGTGCTGTTTTGAGGGATAGAGTCTAGTGTTGAAACTCGTTTTAACCTAGATTATTTATGAAAATACTACCAGAAAATCTGGCTATGAAATTGCTGTTGTATGAGGTTTTTTTAATTATTAGTTTTTTTTAAATTAGCCAATTTAGTTGCAAAATAATCTTGTCCTTCATTTCTATAATCGTTCTTTGCTTCATTTTCTCCATCAGCTATGAGGTGCTTATTTACATGAAGAAACTGCATTTTATGTATAGATACATTATGAAGCTGCTGCACTCTTCTTTGAAAATATTTACGATGAGTAATTTTTAACATGATACTTACACATAAATACTCAGTTATGTGCTTTTTGTGTTCTTAAGACAAATAAGATTTGGCTGAGTGGAGGGACATTGAGAGAATGGGGAGTGAAGAAGAGAGCACGGTGAAGGAACCACTAGATCTTATCAGGCTCAGCCTTGACGAGAGGATTTATGTCAAGCTCCGTTCTGACCGTGAACTCCGTGGAAAACTTCATGTATGGTAACATTTCCCTGTTTTGAACGATTTTCTATAATTTGTGGATTAAGTTAACTTACTATTGTGGGATCCAATTGGGTTGTTGTTGTTGTTGTGGATTAAGTTACTCTTCATTGCTTGGAGCAATGGAGCTAGACAAATGTGGTTTTGTCTGTTTTGTTCACAAAAAGTGTTTTGTGTGTCTATGTATCTAGATTTTTTTTGTCTATTTTATTATTTCTGTAGTCTTGTAATCTTGTTCTCTTGTATTCTTGGCGAGAAAGCTATGATGTGGTAAGTGTATTCTTGTTGAAGAAAGCTAATATGTGGTATATCTGATGGCAAGCTAATTATAGAGAGCATAAAACAAGTCTATATAGATTGAGTTTTCAGTGTTGTTTTCCTTCCCTTTTTAATTATTTTTTCAGAAATATTGTGATGGCTATCTTCCATTGTGATCATCTATATTGTGTGGTAGGCTAGCAGTTGGCATGAAATTTACAGTGTCGATTAATGATTTTCTAAAGTACTCCCTCCGTCCAAGAATTTTCTTCTCCTTTNCCATAAATGGGGGGGGGGGGTCTAGTTGTACACAACTTTACCCGTGTGATAAAACAAAACAGAGAGGCGATTTCCATTTGATTGTATGATTTTCCAAACCATTTAAATTTTAAACTAAATTCATTCGCGCATAAAAAATAAAATACAATAAATAAATAGTCAACTACATCTGTCTTCCACCGTCATACTAAGAAATTTGTTGTTCTTTAAAGGCTTATGACCAGCACCTTAATATGATTCTTGGAGATGTTGAGGAAATTGTGACAACTATTGAGATTGATGATGAAACATACGAAGAGATAGTTCGGGTATGCTCTAAGCCGTTCTTGCTTTACTTGTTCTTATTGTTATCAAGGATTTGTATGGGTTGTAACATGAATTGTTTTGTGTGTTTCAGACTACAAAAAGGGTGGTCCCTTTCCTTTTTGTTCGTGGAGATGGTGTGATTTTGGTTTCACCTCCTTTGCGGACTGCTTGATTGACCCCCCCACCCCACCTAAACGAGGAAAGATATCGATGACAATGGTCAGTTTGATGTTTTGTTTTTGTTTAAAAATCAACAATGTGGCTTTCTTTCTTTGTCTTTTCTTGTTCAAAGCTATGTTGGTGGTGTTGGCATTATTATGTTTTGCTCTGTACTCCCCTCCCATGTCCCCTACATTCGTGTATAACTTCTTTCTACTCGTAGTAGATAAGGGCAGTTTTTCCATGATCATTTGGCGGTAATTTTTTCTATGGCGTTCGAAATTATCTCTCCTCGTCAATTACATTCTCTTGTTTTTTGTGTTGTTTTCTATGAACGAATGTGTCCGAAACGAATATATTATGAAACAGGCACCTTATAATCAAGGACGAAATTCTAGAATTAAGAACAGTCTTGTCTAAGATTTTCTTCTTGGTTTGACCCGACAAGCAAATTAATGAGGAATGAAAAAACTATTGCCTTTCCACATTTACCTTTTGGTGAATAGTACTCCCTGTGTTCACATTAAACTGAATATTTACAGAGTCAAAATTTGTTTGTGTTTTTTAACCAAATTTTCGTTTATCATTTAATACAAAAATAGTCATTTCACTACTTGTTTCAAAGAGTTTTTTAATGTAGTTTTTAAATGTGTAAATACTATTTTTAAATTCTACCCAATTCTTTTCTAAATTCAATTAAAATTTATTTTAGTTAAACATCTTAACTGAAATAAACACTTTAAAATGAGACGGAGTGTTAAAAAAGTCAATATTTTAGATAAAAGTGATTATTCGACCTCTACGTTAATTACAATTGACTCATTGCTCCCATTAGAATCTTGTTTCAGACAATCTTAAGTGAAACATGGTAGATAATCTATGAGGATTCTTAAAACGTAAACTACACGAAATGAAAGTCGCTTCGGGTAATAAAAAACTTTATATTGAAACTTTATATAAACTTTATATCGAAAAACTTTATAGATGTAGGAGGAGAGCAAATCAAATGAAGAGGGGCAACCACTTTACATCGAAATTGGCTGACGCACTTTCTTCGTCAAATTGGAAAGAATTGACGGTTTTTATTATTTTTTTCACCAAGGGCAATTATGGTTTTATATTTTTCATCCTACATTATAAATAGTTGCATAATTACATATTTTAACACTACAACTAACCAGCCAACTTTATGTACTCGTATCTTGAAATTAATCAATCTTCGCTTGATATTAAAAATTATGGACATGTAATTAACACACCAACTTCATTTAACGACTTTACAAATTGCAATAGACCCATTAGTAGTCGTATTATTTTTATGAAAAAAACATTAAAATAACATATACCCCGTAATCATCTTAAATTTCCATCAAATTCATTACACATTCTGTTGTATAAGTACTCCGTATCGTATAAATATCTCTACGAATGTATACTATGTCTGTTCGAAAAATGAAAGTCACGGTTTGACTTTTTTGTCAAACTATAACATTTTTTTACACAAATTAAAAATAATTTTGAATATAAAAATATTATAAAAATTTGATGTGGCAAAACTACATCTTAAAATAAATCTAATTACATTAAATTTACATTATAATGTAATACCGAGAATATTTTGTCACAATTTAATTAAGAATATCAAACAACGACATTCATTTTTGGACAGAGGTAGTAAAATGTTATTAAATAATGGAGTAATTTTTATGAAAACACCTAAATTTAAATACTTTATAAAAGTAATATTTGAAATAATACAACACATGTAAAAAAAAATAAAGAAACTCATCTATATTATTTTATTATATCAAAATCATATTTAAAAATAATAATAAATATGGTTACGCACATGTGTGACCATATTAATACAAGAATTATTTAATCAATTAATCCAACCACAAAAATGTCAAAGGCCTTTTTTATTTGTTAATTTTTACCAGAAGTTTTTTGAGGCATTATATTGCATTTGAATTAGCGGTGTAAATGGATAATAAAAAATTTTGATTACTATAGAATCATTTATTATCCGTATCCGATTAAATATACTCCGTATCATATTGGTAAACCGATCCGGATTTGGTAATGATACATCCGATCAGTTTATAATCCGCTCCGCATATGTGTGTATTCGATCCATTATATATAATTTTTCCTAATTTTTTTATATTTTGTTTTTTATTGACATATCAAAATATAAGAAAATTTTATATGCAAAATATATGTGTAGACATAAATATATGTATGTATATGTACTCTGTATATCTTTCACCATATGAAGTTGTTGTAGAATATTATGAATTTTAAAAAATAAGAAAAATTACACCGTAACAAATTAGTAAATTACAATTGAAAAAAAATAATATTTTGACTTTAATTTCATTAGAAATTATTGAAATTAAAGTGTTATTCAATTTGACTTTAAAATTGGAAACTGATATAAATATATCCGATATCTGACAGATGTGGACATAGTTTTGATTTTTAGTATCCGTACCTGAATTCAATATCCGATAAAAATAAACAGATATGGATCTGTAATGACACATCATTACTATTTGTTTACATTCCTAATTTGAATTGATATACGGAGTAAGTTCCAATGAAATACATTCCTAATTTTAACCGGTTGACGGGTTCGATCAATGTGAGTCGGGTTTGATTGGATTTTGGGTCCGTCCGGGTGTGGACCTGATAAAGTGATATTGGGCTGACGACGTCTTATTAGTAGTCCTCCCCAACCCTACCCGACCCATCGTCTACGAACGACTCCTGCGTTTCGCCCTTCTTCCCAATCATCTTCCCTGCCCTCCGTTGGAATCTCAGTTCATCCCCTCCGTTGACTGTTGGTAAGATCTGTTCTTGTTTAACTTTAATTCCTTAATACTTGTACGTATCTGTGCTTTAATTGTTCTAATAGCGTCTATTTAACTAATCGTTTTCTAATAATATCATTTAAATTGCAATGTTGTTTTCAAATAGTATTTGATAATCGATCATGCAACATGAAGTTGTTATTTGACTTGTTTCTGCAGATTTCAGTTTATCTCTAGTGATTTATTTGATTTTAAAAATTCCACCATTTTTTTTAAAATGATTTGTCCATTGTTCATTCAATGTTTGAAGAACTGCACCTTCTAAATTCGTTTGTATCATGAAATTTGCCCTTATGTGATGGATTGAGATCGTTTTAAGCACACAATTGGGGCATTTTTAGTGTACTCTAAAATGCGCGGGGACAAGAGGGTGGTTTTGCCCAGCCATTCTTGAGTCTTTCTGGTGTTTGGTTATGAGTTTTTCAAAAGGATTTCCTTAGTATTAACCTTTTCATTTTTGAGGAGAAAGATGAGTCAGTGCTCTTCAATAATTTAATGGTTGTCTGGCATGTAAGTTCTATTTCATCAACAGCTCTCACACACGCTTGTTTGATTATCAGGGATAAGAAGATATCGTTGTGGTTCACCTGATAATAATGTTATAATTCATTTTATTTAATTTGTTTTCATTTTGATATACTCCCTCGGTCCCATATTTTAAAAGGTCACTCTCATAGGATATTTTAAAAATGTGTTCAAAATTCAAAGGTGTGGTTGAAATTGATATGGAAGAGAGAAGTCACGATGGCCATGCATTCCCTAGCTAAAAAAGAAAGAGAACTTTTATTTTGGGATGGACCAAAATGGAAAGTGTGATGTTTATTTTGGGACGGAGGGAGCAACTGTTTTTAGTTTACCTTATACTCTATATACAAAAGGAAAATTTCCACTCATACATAAAAATATTACTTCAAATCCTGATGCATGCTTTATATATGATATATTTTCAAGGGCTTGGACACAACTGAGTATTACGTAGTGATATGTATGTGGGGAGTGGAAGATTTCAGGGTGGATATTTGGGGTATTTGTAAATATTGAGAGGTTATAACACATTGGAAAGATCTTTCATCTGCAAAAAATTTAGGCATTTTAAAGAAATTATATTTTAATACGATTTTATTTTCCTTATGGAGCTCATGAGCATGGAGCTTGTGGAGTGCTGCTTAACTCAAGGATTGCTCTTTCCTTTGCAACTGGGATATGTTTTTGAGAGGGGGAATTCAGGGTGGCATTTTGGGTGTTTATATGTACTGGCATGTTTACACACTCGGAAGAGCCTTTCATCTGTAAAATATTAGGCAGGATGAGGAAATCTACTTTTAATTCAAAAATTTATAGCTTTGGAGCAAATGAGCATGGAGCTTGTGGAGCGCTGCTCAATTGGAGGGGTTGCTTGTTCGGTTTGCTTTAGAGTTTTTTGATTTTGTGTATAACTCTGCCAGTCATACAAATTGATAAGAATTTATATACCAAATTATTATTCTGCAGGCTTTCATGGTAATGGGTTTTCACTTTATTACTGTATTTGTTTAGTCTTGCAGTGATCCCCCCACAGTTGACGATGAGTAGTCGTATTTCTCGTTCAATCTATGTGGGAAACCTTCCTGCTGACATCAAAGAATATGAAATTGAAGATTTGTTCCATAAGGTTTTGTTTTCTTTTGCTTTTGTTTTTGAACAATATACTCCAAATGTCGTAAAATGTTCTTATTGTTTATCTACTGAAATTTAAAGTTGCATTTTTATTGCCTGTTTACCTTATTTATTTCAGTATGGGCGTATTTTGGACATCGAACTGAAAATCCCCCCTCGCCCTCCATGCTATTGTTTTGTAGAGGTAATTAGTTTTTTGCTTCTTAGATGCTTATTTTTACATACTCTTCTCTGGGATTTTCCATCTTTGTGGGAAGCATTGACTTACATTTTTTGTTGACATATTTTTGGTGAAAGATATAAACTTGTCATTTTGTAAATGTTTTTTTATAGAACTTTTTTGCAGTACTTTAATACTCTAAATGATCTTTTCATAAAAATAGGCCCGCTGTTCCAAAATACATGCAACACTTGGAGTTTCAATTGTGTTAGTAAAAGTTATAAAAGTTGGCATTAAGAAAGTTATATTGTGTGTGAATTTAAAATATTGTCAAATGAGAGTCCCAAAAGTGTATAAAAATCTAATGTTGTAACATGCAACTATTTTGGAACAGGGGAGGTATTATAATCTAAGATTAACATGTTTGACTAGAAAACTCCAAGATGGAAAAATACATGTTTTATGAGCAATATTTTTGTGCAGTAATTCAATTCATTCGCATTCCTAAACTCCTTGCATTTTTGGTTGCTATCTGTTTGATTATTTACATTTCTGATATGGCTTTGAATTCCCACTTGTCCAGTTTGATCACCCCAAAGTTGCAGAGTCTGCTATCAGGGGTCGAGATGGCTACAACTTTGATGGCTGTCGATTGAGGGTAATAAAACTTCATTGTTCATTTTTTTGTAGGGATACTATAGCTTAAACTTTATGATTTCACTGGTGCTCTTTTTGTTCAAATGACACAGGTTGAGCTTGCTCATGGTGGTAGAGGCCCCTCATCTTCAAGCGACCGTCGTGGTGGATATAGTGACCGGGGAAGCGGTGGTGGTGGTGGAGGTGGTGGAGGGCGCCATGGCACTTCTCGCCATTCTGAGTTTCGGGGTACGACAATGACCTCATACGTTCGCTTGTATGTTTTAATACATGTTATATAAGCTTTGATAAATCATCTTTGGCTCTTGCAGTTATTGTGCGAAGTCTTCCAGATTCAGCTTCCTGGCAGGATTTGAAAGTAATTAAATTGATCTTCTAAGATTTTTTTTTTATGTTCATGTTTTTCTTTAAGCCATGCTAAATATGTTTATGTATTTAAAACGTTTCAGGACCATATGCGAAAAGCGGGTGATGTATGCTTTGCCGAGGTTTACAATGAGCGGGAAGGTATCATGCAAAGATAATTTTAACGAAGTTACATTTTTTTTGCTCCACTCATCTACTGCCAATACATATTTGATTCTATGTTGTAAACAAATGTTCTAATATGCGGCTTAGGCGGCTGCTTACCATCTCAATTTTAGCCTAGGTGGTGCCTTACTGCTCCAATTGTAACTTAGGTGGCTCCAGATTTTGCTTAGGTGTCTAGGCTATCCCAAGCATCCTGGGCTGGACTCTCCGGCCCCCCTTTCCAAAAAAATTATTATAACTAAATTGACAGTTTTATATTATATCTTAGATAACATTAATTTTCTAACATCTCTGATGGAGCCCAATATGTACCGAGTACTATTTTTTTTGGCTTTGGGGTATTATAGAATTAAGCATGGTGGCTCTTTAAACTGTCTGCACTTCTTGCGCTCCTCTTGCGCTTTTTCAACAGTGAAGTAGCAATTAGTCAATGCTCATCATTAGTCATCTAGAAACAGCCGGTCTATGTAATGTTTTAAACGTAGGAGTCAGGCTGTTACATGCTGCTGGGTTCTTTATAGAACTATTAATTAATCAAGTGAGCATTGATTGAACAAAGCAAGTTTATTTATGCAATTTGTTGGGGCGAGTGTTCTATACTTGGTTTTTTTGTGCTGTGTGCACTTACTGATCTTTTGCCCCTCGTTGATCTGTTTCTTGTATCAGGAACCTATGGTCTGGTTGATTATACAAACTATGAGGATATGAAATATGCTGTAAGCTGTCTCTTCAGCATTCATGTTATCAGTTTTATATATGATGCATGCTTCTAACCACTTGCTGAATACTAAATGTACGCTCTTCATGTTTCCCAGATTCGGAAACTTGATGATACAGAATTCAAGAACCCATGGGCTAGGACATACATTCGGGTATTTATATTTTATTACAGTAATATGCATGTAGAGAAAGTGGCAACTGCCAAGGATGCGTAGCATTATATGTTACTTGATAGGTGAGAGAATTCAAGCGCAATTCATCAAGGAGCAGGAGCCGCAGTAGGAGCCGTAGCAGAAGCAGGAGCAGGAGCAGGAGCCGCAGCAGGAGTAGAAGCAGGAGCAGGAGCCCAAGGAGGAGGAGGAGCAGGTCAGCCGACAAATCTGATTCAAGGTCGCCACGCTCACACTCTAAGTCTCCTTCACCCATCAAGCCATCGCGGTATGTAGCGTTTTTGGGTCGTCAGTGTTTTTTCCCCGTGAGAAATCTGTTTTCCGTCTTCTGACTTGGTTGGTTTGTTTATACATAAATCCATTTGTAGACCTATATCCAGGTCAAGGTCAAGGTCTAAGTCGGGTTCTAAACCAAGATCAGTGTCGGCTTCTCCTCGTCAGGTAAGATGTTTTCTATTTTATGTTTCATCTTTTCCTTTTTTACCCTTGGTGTTGTAAGACAAGTACAATGGTCACTGTTCACGATCTTCATGCCATCTCAGGGACAAGCAAACAGTGGCTGATTTTGTGAGGAACAAGACTTCGCATCGGGTCGAATGCAGTGCGTTTTTTGCCTAATCATTGTGTTTGTTTAAGGCTGTCTGAACTTTATCAAATGGACCATTGTTAGAATTGAGATTCTACTGAGATTGAGGTCTGTTCTACTGGTCAACATTTACTTTGTTGTCATCATTTGGTGTCTGGTTGTTTAAGACTGGAGCTTTCTTGTCATAATTGGTGTTTTGGATCTATTTTCGTTCTATGCCATACAATCTTTGGTTTGTCCTACATAAAATTAGTTTCTTATCTGAGATGATGACTTCATCTCACCTGTGTGGACATTTAATGGACAACACTCCCTTAAGTCCACCATTTAAGTTTCATGAAAGTTAATTGTATGCTTCATATAAGTTTCATGAAAGTTCATTCTACCACAAGCACTTTTATGTTCTTAATACTTTCTGTTTCATAGAACTTTGATTTCTTTTATACATATGGAATTTTTTTTCTTAAATTTAACACCAATTTTTAAATAAATTGAATTGGAAATAGTTTTAGTACTAACATACTTGGGAATGAAGAGTAATTTACATTCTCCTTCCACTGTTTAAAATTGAATTGTCTTTTTAAAATTACTGAGATTTGACTGAAGTTGGACACAATTCAATTTTCAACCCAGCAAATCTTGAACGGTGGGGTTTCATCATGTCATGGGATGATTCGGGGATGCTCTGATGTTTCGTTCGTAAAATTGACGATTTTTATCTTTCTTAGCTCCCCCTAGTAAACACATTCACTCCACCCCGGCTTAAACAAATTCTTTACTTCAATTATACTCTACAAGTTGATTTTGATGTGAAGTCAAATTTTGAGATAAAACAACCTTGTAGATACAACATAGGTGACATCACAAACACAAATTATTACGGAGTTGACATTTAGTCACTCGTAAGAATATTCTATGATCATCTCGTAATCAAGAGAACTTGTTCTTATTAGTCATGAGTTTTGCATGAATATGTTTAATATAGTCCTCTTTTTTACAACATTATTTGTGTCATTTTATGACAATAAAGCTATCCGTAATGCTTCACATTGCAGACTGCCTGATCTTCCGCGGTAGTTCATGTAGGTGTGCTTAGCTCCATTTGCTTTGTTTTCTTCTTTTTGCATTCTTTTCATTTTTTTTGCATTCTTTTCAATTATTTACTTTTTGCATTACAATACTTATTTTTAGTTGTGCACTAGAAAATATGTTATTATCATTTGTTTTTACAAATGCTATATATTCTGCTAATAAAAAAACATAAATGCCTAAAAAAAGTACTAGAAAAAAATTGAAATTGAAACACGGAGAAATTTGATTACAAAAAATGAATTTAATTTTTTAATTTAAAAAGCATATAATTTAATTTGAGTAGAAAAAAGATGAATATTAAATAAAAATAAAAGTGTGATCGTTGCAGTGAAACTACTGTGGAAGTGAGGCACTACATGTGTGGAGTAAGGTGATGAGTGTAGTCAGCGTTGGTGAGGCACTGAGTGTGGCTGCTAATTTGGAGCGAGTGGTGTTGGAGCGTTACTTGAATTTACTCCCTCCGCTCTACCAAACACATCCTCTTTTATTTTTTCTTTTTTCACCAAAACATTTTCATTTTCTATTAAAAAACCACTTTTACCCTTCTTTTTTCTTACCATACCTATCACATCATAATTTTTCTATAATAGTTTATTAATCATATCTTACTCTTACGCATCACTAGTCAACTTCAATTTAACATTTATTTATTTTAACACTTGGTCAAAATTGAAATTGTTTTCAAGAACAAATGGAGTATGATATTTATCTCTCTAAAACAAAAACAGAAAAAAACATTCCCCGCACATGATATACTCTTTATTCAATGAAATTCACCGAAAACACCCAAGATAGAGCTCAAGTATTTTCTTAATTGCTCCTTAAATATTTGGTGTCCAAGAATTTTGAGTAGAGTAATGCTATAGTCACAAACTAAACATTCTATAAACTTACTAAATATGTAAAATAATGTTTTTTTCATCTCAAATTAAATTGCTTGTTTACTATTTATTTGGTCAAACTTCATTTATTTTCTTTAGTTATTACATAAAATGATTTAAAAATAATTTTAGACAAATATTGTAAACCAAAACATGCAATTTAAAATGAGGCATAAGAGTAGTTCAAAATAATTGTGTAATCAATTAAAAAATAAAAACATAAATATACAAATAGTACATTTATGTATTACATGAGTCTTTTGTTTCTCATTCTATCGTTACTCATTTGGGTATGTATGTGGTCCTCCATATATATACTCCCTACGTTCCAAATTATAATGCATGTTCACTATTTACATGGTCAAGCTTAATTCACTTTCTTTTTCTAATTTCGTTAGCAATTTGATAAAATATAGTACTATTGTCACTACTAATTTTGTAGATCATTTGATTTAGTATTTTAATATGCAATTTTTATTTTTTAACTCTAAACCATTTGTCATATAAAATGATTTGAAAATAATTTCAATCAAACATAAAAAACCGAAACAGACGTTATAAAATGGGACGGAGGTAGTATTTGTTTATCCAACACGTTTTAATTTTTAAAAAAGAAAAGAAATAAAAATCATGGTCCGGTTTCCAACCAGAAGAAAAGATGAGCATTAGAGCAGTGGTAATACATATCATGCCCAATGGCGTTACGCCCCTTTTAACGCCCAGGGGCGTTAAACACCACCCCCTTGAGGCTTCATCCCGGCGTCATTGCATCAGCGTCATACATTTGACGCAAACTCCTCCTCATATAATGGCTAATTTAGCCGTTGGAAGCAACAAAAAAAAGAAAATGTAATTTTTTACCTTAGTTTTTTTTAATAATGTATTTTTTTACCTTAGTTTTTATTAATGGAAGACAAAAAGAGATTAAGGCCAAATATAATTTACCTTAGTTTTTTTTATTAATGTATTTTTTATTATTGTTGCTTTCTTTTTTTAATTTAATGAATGTAATTTTTTAAAATTATTTTTGCTTCAATTTCTTTTAATTTAATGAATTTCTTTTTTTATTATTCTTGTTTCAATATAATTAAATAATAAAATAATTAAATTTTATTAATTTAGTTTTAGAAGATGTATATTTAAAAATGTAAAAAATGAAGGTTTAAAGCCCCAATTTGAAACCCTGGGGCTTTAAACCTATTTCCACTAAATTTGTGAGGTAAGTTTAAACTGTTCAATGCTTTTAAAGGGGTTGGGCAAAGGAATTATTAGTTGTGTGCCCGCCCGGAACAGCACTTTACTGGTAATGTCGTTGTGCACGGAACAGTACTTTTGTTGTTTACTCCGTATTTATGTTTGGTTTCATGAATGAATGAATACTGTACAATTTAACTTGTACATCAAAATAAGTTTGGTGGTGGGGTTCTAGTGACACCGGAGTACGATGACATTTTGAAATGTCAGTTGCACCGCTAGTGTTACCAAAAGTGGGTGTCACTAGAACCCCACCGTAAGTTTGGTGTATAATAAGTTTAATTCAATAAAATTACACGAAAATATATGTTTTTACTATTCTAAAAATATTGTCAAACTTGAATAACATTCAAAATCTTACTTTGTCCCAAAAATGGAATTCTTTATTCCCTTTTTGGGACGTCTAAAAATAATTTCTCTTTTCTTATTATCAAAAACTTTGGGTGGCTCATAGTATTTCTCTCCTCCCCAACATTTGTAACTATACATTTTCATTTTTCTTAAATTTTGTGTCAAGTTAAACCGAGAGTCATTTTTTATGACTGAGGGAGTATCTTTTTTTAAATGATTTTATTAATAAATTGGTATATGAATTTAAAATAAAATCACATGTCTCAAAACTATACTCTCTCTGTGTAAAAATTATCTTTTTTTGTTTACTATTCACACGGTCAAATTTTATTCACATTGTATGTCTATTTTCGTTCTTCATTTAATAAAATAATATAATTACGTAATGAGAAGATACTTTTTGGACCGATGAAGTATCTAAACTTCTACTCCATTTGTTGCAAAAGAAATAACCTCTTTCGATCAAGGTACAAAATCTCGTGACTCTTAAAATGATTTTATATACAAATTGAAATAAAAAAATAAAATTATATATTTGAAAAACTATATCAAAAATCTTACGAAATAAGATGTGAGAAAAATATTTGATTTTAGCAAATGACCAATGATAATATGTACAAAAAAAAGTGTTATAGAGAGACGGTAACATTGAAAAGACAAATTAATTAGAGAAAAAAAGTGGAACAAAATTATAATAAAAATATTTTGTTTGATCAACAATTAGGGAATAATAAAGGCTCTATGAATTTGTGTTGTTAGGTATCGTCCGTTCGTTCTCTTCTTCATTCTCCTCCACAAACCCACCAACGACATTCCTCTTTTCTCTCTCTCTCTCTTTATTATGCTTTTCTTGGATTTCTTTGAAATTTCTCTTTCTCCAATTTTAAAAAATTGATCTACCTCATTTATTAGATTTATTTTTTTTAATAAAAATTGTGATTTCCTTTCTTTTTCTGGCGATTTTTCTTTGACTCTTTCAAACCGTCACCGCACAAAGGTCGGTCAAACATTTCGCCTCTCTCTCTCACACACACACACAGTCTGTGTGTTTTTTTATGGACAAATTCTCCATTTCCCACAAATAGCTTTCCCATTTCTGCTGCTCTGGGTATTCTTCCCTTTTCTTGAATAAGTTTTTTTTCTTTTCTTTGGGAATACTTTTCTTGAAGGAAATAAAAAAGATCAGTTTTTTAAAGGGATTTTATTTGATTTGCAGGTTCTTGAAAGTCAAAAAAGTCAGCGGTGCTCTGATTTGTTTGTTTTTTCTCTTTTCAGGTCAATATTTGGAATGAACCCTAGTTGGAATTGGGATATCATCTGTTTGTTTGTTTCAAAGTTTTGGTGATGGGTTTCTTTCCACATTGAAAACCATTCTCTTTGTTGTTGTTGTTGATGATGATGATAAATTTCTAGATCTTTTTCAATTTAATCTGTTGCTTGATTATTTGGGTTGGATCTTTTTTATATATAAAACCTAGAAATTAGAGACTTTGTTGGAGTGGTTATTGGATTAGTTTAAGAACAGGACAAAAAAATGGATTTGAAAACAAGCAGTGATGGAGATGAGGCTGCCAAAAGTGAGAAATTAGGGCCTGAAGAAATGGAGTTATTAGGGTCAAAGTTGGGAGGGGGAGGGAGTGTTAGTGATAGGAATTTGGGTGGAAAGAGCCCTAACAAAGACATGATTTTTCGGGCGGATAAGATCGATCTCAAGAGTCTGGATGTTCAGTTGGAGAAGCATTTGAGCCGCGTTTGGTCGAGAAGCGTGGAGAGTCAGGTCCCCAGGCCTAAGGAGGAATGGGAGATTGATCCTTCCAAACTGGAGATTAGGTATCTCATTGCTCAAGGGACATATGGTACCGTTTATCGCGGCACTTATGATACCCAAGATGTTGCAGGTATTCTTTGTTTGGGACATCTCTTATGCTGCTCTGTTTTTTTCTAGTCATAGGAATTGTAGACACTTTAAATTTCAGAAATTCCACCGAATCATTTTCGCCAGATAATCGATGCCAAATGCGCCCTTAGTCTCATTGTGTCCTTTACAATGCACACCTTGTACTGCTTTGTTAAAACAATTCAAATTTGACCTCCAAATTAATCCAAACATGGCCTACATAAAATAAAAACTAACAGAATGAAAATGGCAAGGTTTTATTTTGAGATTTTCATATAGTCGGGGTTTCTTGGAACCAGTAGGGGTAAAGGTCTACGTACACACACCCCTTCCAGACCCTATTGTTTTGGAATTTTACTGGGTTTGTTGTTTTTGTTATTTTGTATAAAAAAAGAATTTGTTGTTTTTTGTTACATTCTTGTTTGACGGGTCCCCATTATTTTTTGTAGTGAAATTGTTGGACTGGGGAGAGGACGGCATGGCCACGGCTGCCGAAACGGCTACATTGCGCGCATCCTTTCAACAGGAGGTTGCGGTTTGGCAGAAGCTTGACCATCCAAATGTTACAAAGGCATGCGCTTCACAACTTCCCTTCTTGGAGCTCAACAAAAAACAATGATTTTCGGGCCTCTTCTTTTCGCCATAATTTTAACTGGAGTCTGAAGTCTCATTATTTTCGCTTGCAGTTTGTTGGTGCTTCAATGGGAACTTCAAACCTCAAAATTCCATCGAAGAACCCTTCCGAGGGTTACACTACCCTTCCGTCGAGGGCGTGTTGCGTTGTTGTGGAATTCCTTGCCGGTGGGACCTTGAAAAATCTTTTGTACAAGAACCGGAAAAAGAAATTGGCCTACAAGATTGTTATTCAGCTCGCTTTGGACCTTTCAAGAGGGTGAGTGTATTATGTACTCCCCTCTCTCACTATTTTTTTCCCTTTTTTCCATTTTTGTCCGTCCCACTATTTTTTGTCCCATACTATATTTGGTTATGTTTGTGTGGCTCGTACTCATTCTTACTTTTTAACATCGACTTCAAAGTTAATCCACGTCATTAAGAAATGATCCAAAACGCTACTTGAAAATGTTGTTTCCAAACAAGGCAATAGTGTATGTCGTGGTGCAATTAAAGTTACTTGTTGAATGATTGATTGACATGCGAGACTTAATTTCCATTGATGGGCTTATTATCATTTGCAGGCTGAGCTATTTACATTCCAAGAAAATAGTTCATCGTGATGTGAAGGCCGAAAACATGTTGCTCGACACAAACCGAACTTTAAAAATTGCCGATTTTGGTGTGGCTCGGGTTGAGGCACAGAATCCCAAGGACATGACTGGTGAAACTGGTACTCTTGGTTACATGGCCCCCGAGGTATTCATACTTTATAATATTATCTTTTTTACACCATTTGGTATAAGTCATTCGATTAAAATGGTTAAACCCACAATATTTTTTAAAAGAACAAACTCTTGTTTGGCTGATAAGGCTACAAGAGCCGTTTTAAAATATATGCTTTCTTGTTTGAATCAGCCCGAATATAGCTACGAAACAAAGCCTAGTCCAATATGACTCGTGTTTTATTCTTTTGATTTGAGTAGATTAAGTGTACACTTTGAGTTAAAAATATGAGTTAAAAATACAATATAGACTTTGATTTGTGTAGGTTCTTGACGGCAAGCCCTATAACCGAAAATGCGACGTATACAGCTTTGGAATTTGCCTTTGGGAAATATACTGCTGCGATCTGCCATATCCGGACCTCAGCTTTGCTGAAGTTTCATCCGCAGTTGTCAGACACGTAAGTCTGTTAAAAATTCGTACATTATGTTATTTCTATTAAGCAAGTGAGCAACCTATGAATCGAATACAACGTTGATTCATGCCAAAGTGTAGATTCAAAAAATGCACGCCATTATGTTTTTAGAGTGAATTTATCAAATGGTACTTAATAACTGTGTGCTTTTCCAAATTAGTCCCCAAGATGAACAAATTAGCGAGATGGTTCTCGTTTATTGAGAATAATGCTCCGTTTATACATACGTCTTTGTGCTCTTACTGTGTCTGAGCGGTCTCTTAGAAACAGTCTCTGTGTGGTAAACTTACTGGGTTTGTTTTATTTTGTTTGTTTGTTTGTTTATGTAAATATACGTAAATATTATCAGAATCTGAGGCCAGAAATACCGAGGTGCTGCCCGAGTATGTTGTCGAGCATAATGAAGAAATGTTGGGACGCGAACCCGGAGAAGAGGCCGGAAATGGACGAGGTTGTTAGGCTGTTGGAAGGGATTGATACGAGCAAAGGAGGAGGTATGATACCCGAAGACCAAGCGGGCGGTTGTTTCTGTTTTGCCCCCACCCGAGGCCCGTGATGATTCATGATTCATTCACTCCCCATATATATATAATTATAACTATTAATTAATATAACTCTCTTCTCATTTATTTTTTTTTGAAAAAAAAATAATTATAATCTCTTCTTCTTGTTCCAAGTGGTGATGGGGAAATTACACCCTTAAAATTAGTTTCCTTAGTTTGGTTTGGAATGCTACAAACTCATTTCCATGTTCATTTTCAAATAAATAGGGAAAAGCTCCTATTATTTTTTTGGTGTTTAATCTTTCTTTCATCTTCCACCTTTCAGACTGTCACATAACACAAAATGTGGTTTCATTTTATTGCAATTATTATGTTATGGTCTTGTACAGATCGAGTGATAAACTGGTCAATATGGGTTGCTGCTGGATGAGCATTAATATTTGCATGGAGGAATTGTCTTCGTCATTTATGTATGGGCTCTTAACAAGGATGGTACCAAAAGATAGGGGTGGACACGGTCCTGTGATACTATTCAAATCTATCGCGAATCGTGCTTAATATAAAACGGTTCGTTATCGGTACATGATGAAGCTTAAAACCATTCGGTACCATTTCATTTTGAAACGCATCAGTACCATACCATGTTAGCACCATTCTAAGAAAATCAACATCCATAATTCAAATATTTAAATGAAAAAACACCTTTGTGTAAAAAAAATAGCACAACTTTGTTAATGACTTATAAGTATAAAACAATAAAAACAATAACAATTGACTTCTTTCAAAAAGTACAATATTTAATTGTTAATGACTTATAAGTATAAAACAATAAAAACAATAATAATTGAACTAATCGTAAATTTAATAAGAATAAAAATAGTGAATCATAACAAAAAAGTTTGTGTTATTGTGCTCCTAAAGTTTAATTGTAAATATGAATTTTCTCACATAATATTTATGTCTTTACAATGGGCACCCCTTTATAATTGGACATCTTTCTTTTTACAATGTCAGTACATATTATCATTTTGTATATTAAAACTTATGAAATTATTATGAACATGAGCATGGGCGGATCCACCCTATTGAATATGGGGGCAGCTGCCCCCAGTCAAAATATTTTTTTTATTTTTTTACTTTTAAGTATACTACCCCTAGTAATAAAATAAAAACCGCCCCCAGTGGACTGACCAGTCTAGTAAATAAAATGTCCAACTAATTGCTTAAAGCCCAATTCCAAAAGCAGCCCAAATAGGCAAATATTACTTCCTTCTTAATTTATACTCCCTCTGTCCCATTTTAAATTGTCTGTTTGCCTTTTTTCTCGATCCCAAAATAAGTTGCATGTTAGTTGTTTTCGTAAACTTTTAAAAATAAAATACCTAAACTACCCTTAAAATAAGTCACTCTTCTTCACCTTATCTTCTTATTCATCATCACCCCTCCTTAAAAGTAATATCAATTTCGAAAAAACAATTCTATTTTTTATTTTCCTTAAATATGTCCAAAAGTCAAAACAGGCGATTTAAATTGGGACGGAGGGAGTAGCAATTTTTGGTTATGGATTTAGTAAAAAAGTTTGTTGCATTTTTAAATAGAACATAAAGTGAAGTATTTGTAATACTCTAGTGATATTAAATATACTTCGTTATATGTATTTTATTTTGTACTCCGTATAACATTTTGCTACTTTTGAAATACTAATGTTTTACTTATTTTAAACTTATTTGATATAAAATTAAATGAAAATCATCATAATCTAAAAGCATCTTTAGAAAAATTTGGAGACGCTGCCCCCGAACACCCGCCTTATTATCCTGCCCCCAGCCATTTATTATCCTGGATCCGCCACTGAACATGAGAACCACAAAGGAATTTGAAAAGTGGAAAATATCATGCTTATGCAAAGGAAAACTTATTTTATTTTAGGACTCAGGGAATGTCAATTTCCAAATATCATGCGTTCCATTCAATTTTTTTTGCCTATTACATATTCTTATTAAAATGAAACCAGATCAGATGAGTTGCAATCAAATCAGATCAGACAAGATGAGATCAGATCATATCTAAATAAAATCAATATTATTATTATTACTATTATTATTATTTCCATTATTATTAGTATTATTATTACTATTACTATTGCTATTAATATTATGATTATAATTATTATTACTATTATTATTATTATTATTACTATTATTACTATTACCATTAATATTAATAATATTACTATTCTTACTATTATTATTACTATTACATTATTTTTATTATTATATTTATTATTACTATTGTTATTATTACTATTACTATTACAATTATTATTATTATTATTATTTCTATTATTATTATTATTATTAGTACTATTACTATTATTATTACTTTTAATATAATTATTATTACTATTGTTATTATAATTATTACTATTAGTATTATTATAACTATTAATATTATTATTAAGATTATTATTATTATTATCATTATTACTAATATTATTATTATTACTACTACTATTATAGTTATTATTATTATTGTTACTATTCTTATTCTTATTCTTATTTCTATTATTATTATTATTATTATTATTATTATTATTATTATTATTATTATTATTATTACTCTTTGAACATAAAGCACAACTTTCATAGGTTGAACAAGATCTGCTCTATAGGTTGTACATCTGAATCCTTTTCTATTATTATTATTGTTGTTGTTGTTGTTGTTGTTGTTGTTGTTATTATTAATGCTTTTATTATCAACATTTCTATTATTATTATTATTTATATTATTATTATTTCTATTATTATTACTATTACTGTTAGTATTATTATTATAGTTATTATTATTATTGCTATTATTATCACTATTATTATTAATATAACTATAATAATAATAATTTTAATTTTAATCAAATTTATATCAGATTAGATCAGATCAGGCTAACGGAATGCTTCCTAAATTGGGAATAAGAATAATATTAAGTGCATTCAAAAAGACAATATTAAGCACTCTACCGTCTCATATCTTTAATATCTTTTGATTTTAATATTCTTGGTTAACATTTTATAAGTTTGACTAAATTACCGAAAAATATACGGATTATTGAATTGTGATATCAATTGAATATTCATATCAATAAATTCATTTTGGAACGTAGTTTTGTACTTCTTTCATCCGGATATAATCTGATTTTTTACGGTTTCCAGTGTAACACTTTGCCTACTAATATTGATATTTTTACATAGATATTCTCTCCGTTCTAAAAAAGAGTTCCTGAATTGACCAAATGTAAAAATAAGGAAGTATTAAATTGTAGTTGACTTCCAATTTTGTCCTTGATGTGATGGGTAAAATTAAGATATGATGGATAGATTATTAGAAAAAAATATGATGTGATAGGTAAGAGCACTGGTAATGGTTATGAAGCCCCGAGGCTTCAAACCGGGGCTTCAAACTTTCTCTCTCTGCCACGTCAGCTTTAACTTACACCCAAAATTCACTGGAAATGGGTTTGAAGCCCCGGGGCTTCAAAACTGGGCTTCAAACCTTCATTTTTTACATTTTTAAATATACATCTTCTAAAATTAAATTAATAAAATGTAATTAATTTATTATTTAATTAAATTGAAACACGAATAATAAAAAAGTACATTCATTAAATAAAAAAGCGTCAATAATTTAAAAAACGATACATTAATAAAAAAACTAAGGTAAATTATATTTCTCCTTGATCTCTCTCATTCTTTGCTCATAGATCATTCGTCCAAACTCCGACAACGTCCCGGGGTCGGTTTGCATGACTTTCATCTCAGCCTCCTGCTCCTTTAGCTTCAACTCCTTCTCCTTTAGCTTCAACCTCTCTTGTTCTTGGAGATTGAACGCCCGAAGTTGTTCAATCATTGCCCGGCCGATTTCGTCGCGGGGAAAAGCGGAAACAGAGGCGGACCCTCCCGAACCCGAGGCAATGGATTTTGCCTTCTTTCTTCCGATCGGCCGTGGAATGGGGTCCTC